TTATTAAATTTGAACCAACGGAAGAATTTAATTTGAAGAGCAGTTATAGTTATTCAATAAATGATGAAAAGTTGATCCTCCAGTTAAAATTGGAACCAACGGAAAAATCTTAATTGGAGGAATAGTCGGTTGGTAGTTAAAATTGAATTATGGTATTGTTATTTTCTGACCAACGTTGATGATAAAAATATTATAATTCTATGAGTTTTATGTTTATAGTTTAAATCTCTGATAAATTTTGCATCAAAGTGACCAATTTTTCAGAGAATAGATAAACATCAAGGAATGCTCCTAAACTAGAGAAATGTGTTTTCAAGTTTCCGCTGCAATGAAGTTGATTTTCTTCTAATTAAATTTGAACCAATGGGAGAATTTAATTTTGAGGAGCAGTTCTATGCTTTCAAGATTATTGAGTTTCTATACGTTAATTCCATTTCTGCACAATGGTCATGTGGAATTAATGTAGAAGAATGATGCTTTATTCTATTTCTGCCCAAAAGTGATATAGAATAGAACATAAAGATTTCAAAGTTTAATGAGCATTATTGTTGAATATTTTTCAGACAAAAGACCTCCATGCTTTCATTCTTAAGGCAGTAAGAGAAATAAGTTGGGTACTTGTGACTCAGATGATGAATGCCATTGCTTAAGGGATTGTGTTCTCTTTAAAGAATGGCTTCAAAAGAAAAGAATTCTAGAATATTGATCCAAGAAAAGAGATAGATCAATGAGAGTCTTCATTGAGAAATATCTTTTATGTACTCTCTGTGAAGAAGAATTTATTTTCAGTTTCACTTATGAGAGTTGTAAAATTGTATACATGTTTAATTTGACCAACATTGGATTAAACATGTGTGTTAAAAGAATATTTGGATTTATTTCTGAATTGATGATTGAACACAAGCCAATCTTGGCAATTATGTCCGTTCAAGGGAATTATCTCGCATGGCGGGATAAGTTTGTGATAGTACCCGCATGGTAGGAAAAGATTGAGAAAATACCTGTATGGCGGGGTAAAGTTGGCATAGTACTTATGTTAACCAATCCTGCATGGCGGGAGAGTTTTGGTATAGTACTTATCCCACATGGTGGGAGAAGGATATGATGACTAATGTGCTCTAAGTGTATCCCGCACATGGAGAGAAGTTTGGGATAGCTCTTATGCTATCCTAGTATTGACCGTACACTCTGATTGTGTCATGGTCATTAAGTACTCAATGAGTTTAAGAACAAAAGAAAGTTGCATGTGAACCAAAAGATAAGAACGATATGCAAGCGTGACTTGCAGAAGTATTGATAATAATAGACTATGTTGAGTTTTGAAATGAAATGAGGAAAATGTACTCCCATACGAATTTTGTTTGCATGATGTAATCATATGGATGAAGTAAGTAATCAAAGTTTCCTCATTAACAAGAGTTCTGAATGTTTTTCAAAATTGTAGTAGAAAAGTTCATACCATATTTCGAGGGGGAGAAATGTGAGATTAATTAAGAAAGACAATTAAGAAAGATACTTCCCCATACTTCAGATAATGCAATGCATACTATGCATTGAAGGTAAAAGTGATCTATAAAAGATGAATGTGATCGTTGAGGGAGTAAGACGGTCATAATAACGATACCCCTAAAGTAAAGAAATAGCTAAATTCATAGACCTTTTACAGTTCCGATAGGAAGATAGCATAGTCAGCTAGAATTCATACTGGACGAGTTTAGAGTTATCAAGGCAGTGCTAAACGCGCCATATGAGTTTTTAGCAGATTAAACCCAAAATAAGAAATTTGAAGATACACCATCTTTACAGAAGATAGAGTAATCTGGGGGAGCATGGTATGTAGATACCTAAGGCTTGAATAGAAGTGGGATTACATATCCACTACAGTGTTTTAGAGCAACAAATTGCTTAATACATGTTGATGTTGTATGACATATACAACACTTGATGTTAGCTCTTAAAGAAGATGAATAAGTAAATAAGGATCTTGTGATACAGGAGGCTATAGAACAATTGCCTTTTGGCAATGAAGAGTAACAATAGCCCCATATGAAAGAAGTGCCACGAGGCCCCAGAAGGTCTCAAAGAATAAGAAAATCAGATATTTCTGGTGACTAAGGAGTCAATGTTAAGAAAGAAATTCAAATGGAGGGTAATTCCACCTCATTTGAAAAAGCCATGAGAGACGTTCACTCGTCTAAATGGCAAGAAGCAAAGGAAGATGAAATGAAATCGATAAATACCAACGATGTTTGGGACTTAGAAGAAATTCCCAATGGAGCCAAAACAGTCGGCTGTAATGGGTCTGTAAGACAAATGTGACTCCAAAGGGAATATGGAAAGCTATAAAGTGCCACTTGTGGTGAAATGATTTACACAAAGAGAAGGAATAGATTATAATGAGAATGCAACGATTCTTTTAGAATCATAATGGCATTAATGGCACACTACGATTTAGAGTTACATCAGAAGGATCTAAAGACACATTCCTCAACGGGGTTTGTATGGAAAGTTTACATGGCACAACACAAAAGGTTTTGTCATGGAAGGAAAAGAACGTAAGGGATATTGCCTGAAGAAATCCATTTATGGATTAAACCAAGCTTCAAGACATTGGTACTTGAATTTTGACAGTACAATAAGAAAGTTTGGGTTTAAAGAGAATGTAGAGGATAATTGTATTTATGTAAAGTTTAAACATGGGAAATCAATTTCCCTAATCCTACACGTGGATAGCACCTTGCTCGCTAGTAGTGATGTTAATCTACTGTTGGAGAAGAAGCAATTCTTGTCCTCAAGTTTCAATGAGAATGATCTTGGTAAAGCGTCATTCGTTCCAGAAATTGGAACTTACCGAGACAAAAGGAAAAGGGGTATTAAAACTATCTCAAGTGTATACTTAGAGAAGATTCTAAAGAAATAAAGTATATATGTGAATAAACCTGCGTCTGTTCCTATAGTCAAGGGTAATAGTTTTGGGAACTTTCAGTATTTCAAGAACCAATGTGAGATCGAAAGGACGTCCTATATGCTTCAGCTGTTGGAAGCTTAATGAGTGCTTATAAGTAAGAACTTACCCTAACATAGTTCATGTATCTAGGATGTTTTGGCAGAAGTCCAGTCCAGATATAGATCACTGGAATGGAGTTAAGAATGTTTTGCAATTGTGCAAAGATTTATAGGCCTCATGGTGAGTAAGAAAGAATAAGTACTCTCAAATAGTTGTGGGTACAAATGTTAAATTTTGGCGAGATGTTTAGTGAAACCCACATAGTAGCTAACACTCGCAGTTGAAGTTTTAATGTGAAAAAGCTCTTAAGAAACAGTTGTGGTGTCATCAAAGATACATACCCACAGTATAACTTGTTATGAGGCTTAAGGACAGGTGAAATGGTTAAAAGAACTTACACCCGAAATTGATAATGGTATACAACAGCAATAACCATCTAAGTAGTTCGCTCCTATAACAACGGGTCAAGTGTGGTGCCAAACACATTGACGTTAAAGTTATACGTTGTGAAGGAGAAAGTCCGAAAACATACTAAAAGTATTAAAGTAACAAGCAAGTGCTTGCGGATCCGCGTACAAAAGGCTTACCACCCAGTGTGTTTAGAGAACACACAGTCGACATGGGTTTATGGTATAGCCTATGATTTCCGGACAATAAAGGGCCCAAAAGTTAAAGAATCTGTTTCAAAACAGAGATGTGTATTGTAGCTGTTAAGTCTATCGGCGATTGACCGTGACGATGAAGCATGCTCTATGCACTAATCTGTAATGGAACAAATAAAAGTGAAAGGGATTAAAGTCAAAGTTTAAAGTTAAAGTATGAGTTGAGATCAAGGGGGAGAATGTTAGAATTGATCTCATCCGTCTTGACCCAACGGTCGAGACGGACCTCTTGACCGCGTCCTGATCGGGGACGTCCATCCATCTAGTGGCTGGTGGGCCCCCGTCGCACAGTGCCTATAAAGAGGAGGTGGGGCAAACGGCTCTTGAATGAGGTTCACTGCCGCCGCCACAACCCTACCGTCTAACCCTAGTCCGATCGCGAGGGAGGCACTGCCAGCGACGGGAAACGCCACTGCCTTTGCCACCACCGCCGGTCTCCACCGCTACACCAACCGTCGCTGCCCGTGTGCAGAGCTTCATCGACGAACCAGCGATGGTAGGGAGCTCCTCCAACTCCTCCGATGGTCAGATGCTCCTACATCTCTCTCTCTCTGTCTCCTTTTCCCGAAGCAAGCTCTAGGTCTATTTGATTCAATTAGTAAAGATATCACCCTCTGATCTACACCTAGATGGTCCAAAGTTTATAACAGCGGCACCTCCACAAGCTTGACTACGCCAGCTTCATGCTCAACGCCCAAGAGCCAAGAGACTACGGGAGGCTGCTCACTGAGCTTTCTAGCGCCAGGGAGCTTGAGATCCTTAACTTTGACTGTGCCACATTTCAGGTGCATGCGCGCATATATCACCATCACTGCATAAAAGCTTTTCACAGAGACGTTTTTTATTTCCATAAGCAGGCAAGCGGACCGCCTCTAACAAATGATTCCGTTAATTAGCTGGTATCAAAGACTTCCAACTTATAGGTAGATAGTGAATTATTATCCGGCTAATATTAGCTATATGCTGTTAGCTAGTAGCTAGCTAACTACTATCAACTAATGTATCCTTACATACCTTCAGAAGCGAACAAGCCCTTTATGTATAGCACATCTTTTTTGTGACAGACATTTCCTATCCTAGACATCTAGAGAAGTTTCAGAAACACTTCAGGTCCCTGCTCGAAGCAGATCCACTAATAGCAAAAATTTCAGTTCTTCACTGCACTCCCGTCCCTCTTCGCTTGCGACCCCGCCGTGCTGGCCGACCTAAAGCTGACCACCTGCATGCTCCCATCGCCGCTCGCCGCCTTTGATGGACTCCGTGGCCTGACTGCGCTAGACCTCAAATATGTCATATTCTCCAGAGAGAAGGTGTGGGAGCGGCCAGAGGCCATGACCTCGGCAGCCACGCCGACGTTGGAGAAGCTACGGCTGGCGAACATCGTCTTCCACCATGTCGCCCCCAGCGGGGGCCACCCTGTCCCTGGTGCGTGGATCATCCACACGCCCAACCTCCGGTGGCTGGAGCTACGCATGACGATGGCCGGCGCTGGCTCTCGAGAGCTGGGGCACCTCCACAAGCTTGACTATGCCAGCATCATGCTCAACGCCCAAGAGCCAAGAGACTACAGGAGGCTGATCACTGAGCTTTCTAGCGTCAGGGAGCTTGAGATCCTTAACTCTGACTGCACCACATTTTAGGGGCGTGCAAGCATATATCACCATCACTGCATAAAAGCTTTTCACAGAGACGTTTTTATTGAATCTGTCTAGCCAACAACTAGTTGTTTTTGCCCCTCCTAACAACTAGATTTTTGCCCATGCACTTATATTGTCTTATAGCTATATTTATACCGTCTTTTTGCTATATTTACAATGATTTCTAAATTTTTCAAAAAAATTCAAATTATTTCAGTGGATTCCAAACATCAGAGAAATATGTCAAATGATCAAATTGTTCACAAATTATTCATAAATTTCACAAATTATGTTCCAGATCATGGCGTAGTACCTGTTCTTGCGCTGCTGCACGCCGCGGCCGGTACTTCCACACCGGTCGTGTGGCCACGGCCCGCGCCACCCACTCGATCCTCGCCGAGGCCGCCGCCATACTCCCGAGCTTGACGATGCCGAAGCGCCTTGCATCCTGGATCTAAACTCGATCGCTCGCCCCTTGCCGGATGGATGTGTAGCGGCTGCAGCCGATGTGAATGTGCCAGGGTTTGACTTGGGTGACGAAGGACGGATGGCCTGGGGCCGGTGGCTGAGGGAGGCAGTGCCGGGGGCTGGCGACAGAAGATACGGGAGGGAGCGAGTGGAGGGAGCGCCACAAATTATGTTCCAGATCACAGCGTAGTACCTGTTCTTGCACTGTTGCACGCTGCGGTAGTTCCACACCGGTCACGTGGCCGCGGCCCATGCCACCCACTTGGTCCTCGCCGAGGCCGCCGCCATCCTCCCAAGCTCGACGATGCCGCCGTTCCTTGCATCCTGGATCTAAACTCGATCGCTCGCTCCCTGCCGGATGGATGTGCAGCGGCTGCAACCGATGTGAATGTGCAAGGGTTTGACTTGGGTGACTATGGACGGACAGCCTGGGGCCAGTGGCTGAGGGAGGTAGTGCCGGGGGGCGGCGATGGAAGACACGGTTGGGAGCGTGCGGAGGGAGCGCCACAAATTATGTTCTAGATCATGGCGTAGTACATGTTCTCTTACGCTGCTGCACACCACGATAGTTCCGCATTGGCTGCGTGGCCGCCGCCTGCGCCACCCACTCGGTCCTCGCCAAGGCCGTCGCCTTCCTCGCGAGCTCGACGATGCCGCTGCGCCTTGCATCCTGGATCTGAACTCGATCGCTCGCCCCTTGCCGGATGGATGTGCAGCGACTGCAGCCGATGTGAATGTGCTAGGGTTTGACTTGGGCGAGGACGGACGGACGGACGGACTAGGGGCCGGTGGCAGAGGGAGCCAGTGCCAAGGGTCGGCGGCGGAAGAAACGGGAGGGAGCGAGCGGAGGGAGCGCGGCGGCGGCGGAGGGAGCGCGAGCGACAGAGAGCCAAATCCACCGTCCAGCACGCGACACGTGTGAAATCAACGGCCAGAAAAACGGTTGCTAGGTTCGCCCAAATCAACCGGTTGTCCATTAGCAATACTGTTATTTCCATATCAGCTCGCAAGCGGACCGTGTATAACAAATGATTCCGTTAATTAGCTGGGTATCCAAACACTTCCAGCTAATTGATAGAGCAGCTACTGGATCCAAACAGGCCAGGCCCTCAGAAGCGAACAAGCCCTTTATGTACAGCACACATTTTTTTGTCACGACATTTCCTATCCTAGACATCTAGAGAAGTGTCAGAAACACTTCACGTCCCTGCTCGTAGCGGATCCACTGATAACCAAAAATTCAGGTCTCCAATCTCCCGTCCTTCGCCTGCGACCCCGCCGCGCTGGCCGACCTGAAGTTGACCACCTGCATGCTACCGCCGCCACCTGCCGCCTTCGATGGGATACGTGGCCTGACTGCACTAGATCGCTCGCGTCCTGTCAGATGGATGTGCAGTGGCTGCACCTTTTTTGACGACATTTCCTATCCTAGACATCTAGAGAAGTGTCAGACACACTTCTGGATATAAGTGTCAGAAACACTTCTAGATGTTTTGAGACATTTAATAAGTGGTAAAACATTCAGGGAAGCCCCCTACCTATTTTTTTCTTTTTCTATTAATATGAACAGAGATACAAAGTACATATGTACAGGGTACAAGGCTTGTAAAGCCCAAATAAAAAGAAAAGTATACATCATAAACTACTATCTCGCCACACATAAAGGGGGTCAGCAGTGCACTTCTTAGCCTTGATACACACCAAGCTAAGATCATCTTTGAGGGCAGCCTTCCAGTCCACCAGGGATGCTGATTTGTTATAAAAAATGATTCCATTCCTGGCTTTCCAAATTGTCCAGCAGGCTATAGTATAACCCACATGATTTCATCATGATTTCACAAAAGCCAACATGTTCAAAGCAATCTTTGGCTATAAATAGCACTACACACACACACACACACACCATATGTGGTATATTGGAGGAATTCATTTTCATCTTATACAACATCTCATTTTCGACATGCGCTAATGTCAGTCATTCAGAGTTCCTGCAGCCATACATGGGATGCATTTCAACTTGCACATACCTCCTTTCAACTATACTGTGTAAGAAATAATTACGTACAAAGTGTTAAGCTTGGCCCCCGCCTACTTGGGGATGCTCCAAAAACAAATGTCATCCCTGCTGGGAATGAAGTGAACAAGGAAGAAGGCTGTTCTGAAGGTTTTCCAGCTACAGGAATATATGATGAAGATGTGAACATGAAATTTCTTGTCTGTGGAGTACCATGCACCCTGGATGCATGTTTGTTGGGCACACTAGAAGATGGTTTGAATGCACTGTTGAATATTGAGATTCGTGTGAGTAAACTTGAGCCAGTGCTCCTCCACCTCTTCAAGCTGAAAATCTTCCACATGGAGTTGTTACAATGCGCTATATCACAACTTGCAGTTCTGCACAAGTGTCATTTCTTGTTTCTGGCAGTATAATTTATAAGACGGAGTGTGTAATTTGGGAATAACACAAATATATGACAATTTTTTTCAAAAAAAATTCAAATTATTACTGTGGATTCCAAACATCAGAGAATTATGTCAAATTGTTCAAAAATGATCAAATTGTTCACAAATTTCACAAATTATGTTCCAGATCACAGCGTAGTACCTGTTCTTGCGCTGCTGCACGCCGCGGTAGTTCCGCACCGGCCGTGTGGCCGCCACCCGCGCTGCCCACTCGGTCCTCGCCGAGGCCGCTGCCTTCCTCGCGAGCTCGACGATGCCGCCGCCGCCTTTGCATCCTAGATCTGAACTTGATCGCTCGCCCCCTGCAGGAAGGATGTGCAGCCGCTGCACACCTTTTTTTACAACATTTCCTATCCTAGGCATCTAGAGAAGTGTCAGACACACTTCTGGATAAAAGTGTAAGAAACACTTCTAGAGGTTCTGAGACATTTAATAAGTGGTGAAACATTCCACTCAGAACATCACACATTCACACCCAAGGTATAGTACAACCCACATGATTTAACCTTTATCATGATTTCACAAAAGTCAACATGTTCAACGCAATCTTTGGCTATAAATAGCACTAGACACGCACACCATATGTGGTATATTGGAGGAATTCATTTTCATCTTATACAGCACATCACACAGCACACACATTTACCAAACACAGCTGCCTATTATTATTAACCAATAGCCATAGCATTTTATTTTGTTACACCACCAGGTTCCACCAGCAGACTCCTAAGAGATAGATTATTGAGAGCGACTACTCAGAGTAAACGGACCACCAAACTGCTTGCAGGAGATCCATCCCCCAGCACAGACACTTACGACGACTACTCCAGTGACACAAAGACAACGACAATGACTACTGCTACGGTGGTGTCAACACTAATCCTGCTGCTAAGCTATTACAGACTTCCCAGAAGCCAACTGAGGAGCTCATTCAGAATGTTCTGAGACTTGGAAGGTGCATGCATCATCCCAACATGAAGCTCCACTCCGCCATCTGGTTTAATTGTTGGGGGGGAAGCCATTGACCTGACGCTCCAGCTGCATCAGAGAACACATATATCATCCCAACCTGACGCTCCAGCACGCGTTTTTTTGTGACAACATTTCCTATCCTAGACATCTAGAGAAGTGTCAGAAACACTTCTGGATAAAAGTGTCAGAAACATTTCTAGATGTTCTGAGATATTTAGTAAGTGGTGAAACATTCCACTCAGAACATCACACATTCACACTCAAGGTATAGTATAACCCACATGATTTAACCTTCATCATTATTTCACAAAAGTCAACATGTTCAAAGCAATCTTCGGCTATAAATAGCACTAGACACGCGGTGTGTTCTACTTTAAGTAAACACTCCTCAACCTCGTTTAGGGTCTAGCCCCACAAGTGATCAACTAAGAAAAGCACAATAATTGTGAATCATTTCATCCCAGACAATTTAACGAATTCCCAAGAGCTGTTAGCATGTACCTTTGGCATCAACTTTGCACTCCTAGCTTGAAGGATAATCCTTCCCAGGCAATTGCGGCCTCTGACGCCTCCTCTATAAGGCGATTGAGCAAGCATGGCTAAAGAAGCATTGGCTCCATCTTTCCAGCACCATTGACCACCAGAGATAAACAAAAACCATCAAGCACACAGCTCCGGCTGCAAGCTGAGCAGCATCTTTTCAGTGATTCAGTCATCCATTACCTTGCTCCATTACCATGTTCACAAAGCCTTATCAACCTTCTTGATCCATATCTTGGTCCTGAGTCCTGACACATGTGTTAGGCATTTCAAAGTCCAGCAGCCACTCTAGCAGAAGCATCATATCTCCCAAATGCCAGTAGACTCAAGGCTGGCTAAAGCGGCATGCACTGTAATAGAAACCCAGGAAGCGTGAATGTGTCATGAGACTTCAGTTCCAGGTGAAGTCTATGTTTCATGTGCCACAAGTGACTCCCACTTTATGGCCTTATGGGAAGGTCAATGTGAGAAAACCTTCCCAAGTCCAAACTTTGATAACTACGAATAAGGACGATGTTGAAGATAATGGACTCACCATGCTTGTATCTAAAGATGAGTGTTTCAGAAAAAGACATATACGGACATGTTTCTATCGCTAATATACAACAAACAAAAGTAAAGGTCTATAAAAGTAAAACCAGGAGGCATTGGCTAACTGATGAACTTGTTAATTATCCACAAATTCACAACCACAGCCGATCTAAAACTCCCAGGCTTTTATTCTGGAGTGGATATTATAGGGTCTCAAATATTCCGTGGCAAATTCTTAGAGCTTCAATGAAAGAGCAATGTGTAAAGGAGGGAATTGTGCTAATGCCAAAAAAAGGCAATATGACTTGTACCACATGTATAAAAAAATATATAATATAAGTTGATATATTGTATAGAGAAACCAATATTTGTACCAAGATAATTCCTATACAAGCAGTGAGACACATGTAGCAGGTCAAAACCAAAGTTTAATGTGCTACATACTTACTAATATATCAGCTTGTTTAATTCAAAGCACACGTTTGTTTAGTTCCTTTAAGTAGATAACAAGCTAAATAAAGTAATCTTATTTTTGCAGTAGTTAATACCATCTAATTAGAAAATGGATATGACACCAACATGCACTAATGATTACAGGTTGAAACTAAAAAATCACTACTATTCTCGCTAGCAAAGCTTCCCTGACACAAGAACCAATTGTTCACTCTCCAAATGGGTATGTATATTAGGCAAATGGTATAGTTTAACGGCTCGTTCACAAGGTTACCAGGTGTATTTGTGTTACCAGTATGGTTTAAGTATAGGAAAAACAATACTGTTATCTATGTGATTGGTTGCTAGCATAGTTCCCATTGTAAAGACTAGAACCCAACAGTCAATAAAAAGAACAACCCATAGGAGCAGTTACTCAAACACCGTAAGCGACAAGTTTGTGCAATATTTGTACAAGAGAAACTGCAACACCTAAAGTTGCACTACTATGGCCCTGTTTGGAACAGCTTATTAGGCTGCTTTGCTTAAAAACTAAATACAGACATAATTTTTTTCAGTGTTTTTTTTTTTTTTTTTTGCAAATGATCTAGGACTCGGCTTTTCCAAGAAGGCCACAGGGAGGAGCTTTTTCCCCTTTCCAAGCATTGAGTTCCGCCTCCACCTTTACTCGCGCGATTCTGACTACCGTTTCTCGCCCGAGAGGCCACCATCCCACACCAAAGCACCCCTCCCCCGCCGGAGCCCGTCTCCTGCCGGAGCACTGACAGCACCCCCACCCCCACCCCCACCACCACCACCTCCACCACCAGAGCACCTCCCTCAAAGGGTGACTCCCTGTGCAGGAGACCCACCCTGCCATGCGCCTCCTCCACAGGAGCGCCTCCTCTGCCGATGCGCCTCCCTGCTGGCGCATCCATGGCAATGGCAAAGGAATATGATGGCACATCAGTGTGCGGCGGCATCAAAGAGCAGGTAAACTTTTGCCGGCTTTTACTTCTTCAAAAGCTAACTTATAAAAAAAAACATGCTTCTTGCAAAAGCTCCCGAAAGTTAAGTGGTTCCAAACAGGGCCTATACTCTATAGCACTTGCTGCTTACTGACCTTAATGCATCTATGCCTGAATAGGGGATCACATGCATTCAAAAGAATTTCCATCCTCTTTCTACCATAAGCCCATTATTTCTGATAAGGGATTAGTGGTAATAGCTCAATCGAATATCTGTGTAAAGGTAATATCCTAATAAAAAATAAATAGAGCTAAAAGTGAGACGTGTATTTGAACATTAAAAAAAATGTATGTACGGTGGTGCGATATTTCTCAATTTAGGTATCAGTAAGGAGCTGCAAAAGGGACTTTAACTCCCTTGTCATCCTTGGCACTTGGACATTATGGAATCATCATAATATTTGTGTCTTTGATGGGTCCCTCTCTGCTTGGCTAGAGCTTCGCCAGCGAAGAGCTGCAGTTTTGGAGTTTGGCCAGGGCTTGAAGTATTTCTTACCTCATGGCCCTTCTGCCAGAGTAGTGCGATGTTTTGGTCAGGGCTATTTATGTTTTCCTCCCGGCGTGTGTGAGGGCTCTTCCCATTGTTTCTCCTCAAGATAACCATACACTGCTCTCCTGTGCGTTTGAGAAAAAAAAATCTCAATTATTTCAAAGTTTGTCCAAATGATGTGATCGGCACAGAAAAGCTTAACACATACAAGCTAGCTAAAAAATTGTAGTCTTGATTTATGGCATATTGTATGTTCAGCATGTAAATCTAAAAGAATTTAGTTCACGACAAAATGAATACTCTTGTTCAGTTATGCTAGTTCAGACTTAAAAATACTACAATTAATAGATACACCTGACATGGTAAGCATATAAGGTTGCCAACCCAACAATAACAAAACTCGAGCTTTCGGCGCATGACAGGCAAACAATAAACGGTACTTCTTGTGTCACAAGTTTACCATATAGCTCGTTATTGTATTGGACACAAACAGAAGCAACACTACAGTGACTACACTACCTCTGAGTGGCTGAGTTGCAGTTTCTACATTGCTTCCCTTGGTGTCAACTCTCCCTCTTCTAAGCATCCTCCTTCCCCTGCTACTTCAAGGCAATTGTGTCCTTTGACACATCATTAATTATCTCTAATGCCACAATTGCGGCTAAAGAAACAACACTGCCTCCATCTTACCAGCACCGTTGTCCAACAGCAACCGACATAACCCAACAAGAACACACCACGGCAAGCTTCAGCTGCAAGCCAAGCAGTGACTATTCAAACTTCGTCGACTGCCTCACTTGCTATAAACACCCAACTAATATCTCTACTAATCTTGGAAGGTCCAAATAATACAACCAATTAGCAAAGCTCCAAACTAAAACACCAGTATACATTGGTGAAAACTTCTAGCTTTTATGAAACCTTAATGTGAAACCTCAACAACCGTGGTTAATAACTTTGATTGTAACAAGAGTAAATAGACATCTCAATTTTATGTTATCCATGCTATGTCGGATAAAATGGCATCGCATCTATGTCGGCTGCAAAACCTTACAACTTGTGCACCGCAGTCCCCCATCCATGTGTACATCCTAGCATTGCCCACATTGCTAAAGCTGGCTGCTGCAACAGAAACTTCGGCGTAGCTAAGCAAAGTGTGTTATGAGACGCTAGAACCACCGAGGCAACTAGGTGCCATTAAACATGGCAATATACCTCAGAACGCCGGAGACGAGGAGTCAGTGGCCAGGGGAGACGGCCCCCAGGCCCAGGAAACCTCCTCGAGAGACTCTGGGACCGCAAGACGTGGCACAAGCTGGAGATTGCGCGGCCGGGAGGACGGCGCGGAACGCGGCCGGGAGGACGGTGCGGAACGCGGCGGGCGACAGAGGTGACGAACGCGCTCAACGCCAAGAGGTGCGCGCAAGCGAACCCCGCCGCCGCCTCCAGCGTCTGAACCACCGCCGCACTCGACACCTCGCGCCCATGACCCCATGCCCCGGCTGCTGCTCAGATCCAGAGCTTAGGGTTCGAGGGGAACAGTCAATTGCGCCGCTATTTCGGCCTGCAAGTCGGTGGACATTGGAACAGGTTAATCGGGAGAGGACTAGGGTCACGGTGAATGAGATTCAGAAATTTGCCGGATATTTAAATTGTTTTATTTTTGCCCCACTAAAATGCCAGCTTTAGAACTTTAGAATTTTTACTGATACATATAACCAGCTAGTGAGATTTATATTTTCTAATAGTTTGCTGATGACTTCATGAGTCACGCGAAAGCATTTAGAACGTGTTTACTTTATGGCTGATCGATGTCTTCCACAGGCACCAAGATTAGGCATTGGATTTCATACATATGGACCACATGCACACCTACAATGAGTTTGTCTCCGGACATAAGGTTCCTCAGAAAGCTTCTCGACCCCATGCTCGACCCCATGCGCATGTCCCGACGTCACCACATCTGAATAAATAAGAGTTGCCTAGACTCCGTTAGAGCCTTTCGCATTTGCAAGCACTTCCTACATAATTTTAGCAACGCACTTCATGTAACTCGTGAGGGCAAATAAATTTTAGATGAATCTAAAGTTGCCAGACATAAATGTCACTCTCGCTCGCCGCCTATAATGTTAACTACACTGGTTGCAATTGGCGCATGAGAAGGCTGGAGAGGACCACGTTCGAATCACGGTGTTAAGGAGTGTGGGTGGTCCTCCATTGGCATTTATGATGGCACGAAGGAACTTAACAATATGGATTTCATCGTCTCACTTTACCTGCTCATATGGCTTATTGGTGGCCTACGTATTTCTCATCCTACTCATAGTTAACCCATGCCAACTTTATCGCCTCACTCTACCTGCCCATATGGCTTATTGGTGGCCTACGCATTTCTCACCCTACTCATAGTTGACCCATGCCTCGTCCTCGTTGCTAGCTTGAGCGTGCTAGCCTACCTATGCCCCTGGTTGTGCGTATCTGCTTGCCCACAACCATGCACGGTCGACTTTGCATTTAAATCTCCACATTTATACTGAACAACTCCTTAATTAATGGACAATATGCCACATAGACCATTGTAAGAGTTGTTCCTTACTTAATTTATGAATCATTCCACAATCTATCCTCACTAGTTGAAGTTAGAAAATAAATATAATGTGCATAGACCTTTCTAGTGTATGTATTCAGGTGGTTTCTTATGTTAATTTATAGAATAACATCATCTGGGACATAATTGGTTGTCCTAGTTAATGCAAATAGCTCAGCAATACAAGCAAGACATAACTCCCTTCTTTAAGCACCCAGGAATCCATGGCCTCTCCGCACTTCTGGTACTATTCATTTTCTTTTTTTCTTTTTTTATTTTTATTTCTTTTCTCTCTCTTTTTATTCCTTCTCGTGGATTTTTACCTCTCGAAAGACCGGCGCAGCGTCGTCCTATCGTGCTGGTTCTAATTATGGATTGTCGAAAAAAATAGGCACAGTTGGCATAACCAGAGTGTCTCAAACAACCGCGGTTCGTCAACCCACTCCGTACCATATATTATCCATTCTTCCCGTCGTTCGTGCTCCCCAAAACCCTAGGCCACGCCATCCATCTATTTCTTCCCGGAGCCTCGCTGCCGGCACCGACGAGAAGGTTCGATTCGGGGAAAGAGTAGGAGAATGGGTGAGTTCGACGACTACTGGGCGCGGGCGTACAGAGGCAACTCTGGGGTCCCGCACTCCGACCCGCAACACCTCGTTTCCACCTAGACGGGAGCCTTCGCCCTCGCGGCGCCGTGGCCTGCGTCCATCACCACGCCTCCGCGCTCGCCTCTCACCTCAAGTCCCTACCCACCAGGTCATGATCGTGAGAAAGTGTCGGACGTAGAGACTGTCTACTAGATAGATATGCTCTTATTAGCCCCCAAGTGAGGCCCGACCCCCCGCCGTTGCTGGGGTCGGGCGTCACCTAAAGATTAGTGAGTTGATAACGAAACTGATAAGAGAAAATGTGCGTATATTAAGGGTAAAAGTGACGTAGCTGCTCGCCGCCTATAATGTTAACTACACTGGTTGCAATTGGCGCATGAGAAGGCTGGCGAGGACCATGTTCGAATCACGGTGTCAAGGATTGTGGGTGGTCCTCCATTGGCATTTATGATGGCACGAAGGATCTTAATACTATGGACTTCATCGTCTCACTTTACCTGCTCACATGGCTTATTGGTGGCCTACGTATTTCTCATTGTAGGATCGACAGGAAGATAAAGGAGGCCTAGAGGGGGGGTGAATAGGCCTGTAAAAATTCAACTTAAAACTCTGTTAGACAGAGGGCGGCACTGCCGGCCTTACAGGGCGGCACTGCCGCTTTATGAAAAATAATCTAACACAGTTGAGATTTAACAGATATGAACCTGACCCCACTAGCTGCTTAATCCTACAATATAAAGCCAAGATCCAGTTCGAAGACTGGATACCACAGAATCTTCACACAACAGTGAATCGAGCAACTAAACCCTAGCAACAGCTAGCAATAATGTAAACAACAGGTATAGCAAAGATGAAGCACGCGAGACACAATATTTATCCCGTGGTTCAGCTCACCACTAAGGCTTGCCTAAGTCCACGTTGTTGAGGAAGCCACAAAAGGCTTGAGCTTGCCACCAAGGCTTCTCTTACCCTCGTTCTCAAATCAAGAGAGTGAACTCTTGAAGTAAGGAGTGATTTCTTAGCTTTTGAATGAGGTTACAAACCTTCTAAGGTTGTCACACGAGTTGGCAAGCACAAGGGCGACGCCTAGCCGGCTAGGAGCAAGCTCCAAGAGTAACAAACCCTAAAACCTTCGGCCAAACGTGAACCAAATGCTCTTAGACTTTGGGAATTAGTGGATCTTCTCTCCAATCGAGTTTTGCTGCCTTTTCTCTCAAGTTTTGATGGTTGGGATCAAGGATTAGCTTGAGGGATGGAGGAGCAACAATGGAGGAGAGGGATGAGCTTTGGTTCTGTCTGTTTTTGAGCAGAGTGAGTCAGTGGAGAAGATGACCGTTGTGGGCCGGGCCTGAAGGGTATAAATACCCCCGAGCCCAACAGTCAGTTAAGGGCGGCACTGTCGTTCTTAATAGGACGGCACTGCCGCCCTAGCCAAAACAGGTAATATGATATAAAATTTGGCTGGCTGTTTTGACTAGGTGGGAGGATGTAGATCTATGAATTTGAGCATCTGATTCAACAGTTGACCAATTGTCCTAAAATCCCTCCTAATAGTACGGCTTTCCCTAAACTCAATTTCAAAACATAAAAGAATTTAAACCTCCTTTGAGCAAGGTCCAGCCACCTTTTGTAATTAGGACACTTGCAACCTGTACATCATCCTCATTCTTTGATTCCCTGCTTATCATCTTGATAAATCTTATTAATCCTCTAATTTGGTGGTCATCAATACCAAAACCCACAATAGGGCTTGATTGCACTTACACTCATCCTACTCATAGTTAACCCATGCCGACTTTATCGCCTCACTCTACCTGCTCATATGGCTTATTGGTGGTCTACGTATTTCTCACCGTACTCATAGTTGACCCATGCCTCGTCCTCGTTGCTAGCTTGAGCATGCTAGCCTACCTAT